ATATATTATATTTATATTATATATATAGATTTTTATTATATAATAAAAATTTTTTATACTTATTTCTTTCTCTAGTATAACTCTTTTCTCTACTTAAGTTATCTATATATCGACTAATATATCTCTTTCTAATAGTCTCAGTACTGCAGATATTTTTGTTATTTTTAATAATTTTAAGAGAAAGATAAAACTAAGTTAGAAAGCTAAAAGTATTAACTTTTATAATTTCTAACTATTTTAATAAAAGTATTTTTAATTATATTTATTTTGTATAAATAGTTCTTTTCTGGACTATTTTTCTGTACTTTTATATATTATTAGTTTATATAGATTATATTTTACTTTTAAAATCTTTTTTTATAATCCCGAGATATTGGAGCCGATTATTCTCTCTTTATAGAATAGAATTGTTAATATAATTGTTTAATAGATTATTAATAGAGCGAGTACTCTGTACAAGTACTCTTTTACTTTATAAAAGAAAACTCTTTGGCTAAAAATATATATTTTAATTGTCTTGTTAATATAGAGTAAGTATTTTAAGTTATACTTTTTTTTAATATTAAATATAGTCTTATTCTTTATATAATAATAATAAAGTAGTATTTTATTTTATATATCTGGCTTTTTAAATACCAGAGATATATAGTCTCTAAAGTTCAGTATACTATTATATTATAGTATTCTAGTAAATAGTATATTCTATAAATATATAAGCTACTGGTATACCAGATTCTAAAATAATATTAGATTATATAATTTTTGTATTTTATTAAATAATATAATATTAAATTTGTCTGCTAATAAATATCTTTAATTAATAGATATCTTAGATAATAATAGATTAAATTAAAGACTTTTTTTTTTACTTTTTATTTTTACAGTATCAGATCTGTATTATAAGTTCAATATTTAATAAAAAGTTAAGATCAGTACTCTTGTAGTCTCTGACTTCTTATTAAATAATTTATAATTTTGAGTCAGCTTCTTTTTAATAACTTTTAAGTTTATATTTAATTAAATCTTATAATCTCTATAGTAAATATAGAGATCAAAGACTAATATTATACTAATTATTTTCTAAGTCTATTACTATATAAGTTCTGAAGAGAGTATAATAATACTCAGTTTATTCTCTAGATATAGTACTTTTTTTTGTTTTACTCTTTTATACTCTTTATTAAAGTCTGTTATAATCTATATAGATTAATTTAAAATAGACTTTTTTTATATCTCTCTAGAGTTTATTTTAAATATAAAAATAAAAGTCTCTCAGATCTTCTCTAGATCTATTGAATTAGTTAAAATATAATTTTTAAGATAAGTTTTAAATTTTATCTTAACAAGAATTTATATAATAATAGGTTACCAGAACTTTAGATATACTGAATATTTTATATCTTTTAATCTATATATATCTATATTTTTGATATTTAGTATAGAGTATACTATATTATATCTCTTCTACTAAAATTCGGTATTGTTAAATCAGTTTTTTTATATTTTAAAAACTATTAGACCAGCTTAAATTAGTTATATAATATCTGAAGACTGTATTATTTCTATAATATAATTAGAATTATATTTTTTTATATTTTAGTATTTTGTATTCTTAAATATATTAGTTTTTAATTTATTATTAGCTCTATATTTTTTCTTTTTTGTTTTCTATAATAGATTTGAGTAGTTATCCAAGTAAATATTTAAAAGAGACTTTTATATTTTATTATTTTTATTGTTTATAATAGCTGTAGTCTATTTATATTATTTAATATCAATTACTGTATTATTCTCTGGAATTCTTTTTATTCTGTCTAGAGCTTTTACTACTAGTAGATACTATTAGTAGAGATCTTTGAGATCAAAAGTAGCTAATTTTTAAAAGATATAAAATCTTTATTTTGATTTCAGAATTTCTTTGTCTTAATTTTAGTAGACTTTATCTGGGATAATTTCTTTCTTATTCTTATCGGACTCTTTTTTATTATTTATAGATTTGAGATCTTTGTTGCCGAGATTTTTATTATCTATATTTTTATTATCTATATCTTTATTGTCTATATCTTTATTATCTATATCTGTGTCTAAATTACTTTTTTCTTTAGTCTTATACTTTTGTTTGGTCTCTTGTATCTTAATAGACTTTTTATTTTCTATATATAAGATTAACTAAAAAAGTCTTTTTTATAAATTTTCTATTTTATTTACTGTCTCTAGTAGTTTTAAATAGGGTAATTCTATCTATTGAAGTATTAATATAGCTTAATATATACTTTTAATATATTTAGTTTTTAATTCTCTATATTATCTTTTCTACAGTTATGTCTAATAAATTTCTATTATAGAAAATTCTGTTATTTAATCGAGTATTCTTGTATTTTATATACTATATAAAATATATAAGATAATCTATTTTATTCTATAATTCTTTATCGGAATTTCTCCCTGAATATTTTATATTCTCTAAGTTTTTGCTACTTATTATTTATTCTTGTATAATATTTAATCCTATATCTTACTCGGTTTTTGAGTATATTATATTCTTCAGATATAAATTCTATAAGTCTACCCAGTATAGATAAAGAAGATCCGACTATAGCTATTTTTTTTATTTATCTTTAGTAGCTAAGTAGTATACTTTTATTAACTCTCTTTGGGTCGGTATCTTATCTTTCTACTTTTTTATCTATATATTTAACTTTTCTTCTGTCTTGTTTTTTATATTATTTTCTATAACTATATTAGTAGGGTCTCCTAAAAATAACTTTATTTTAGATATTGTTTTTTTTACCGAGTAATATATTATAGTTAATTTCTATTTTATTTTTCTTTTCAGAACCGGATCGAGATACTATTTTTTAGACTCTTTTCTGTCTTATATTTGAGATTCTTGAACTGAATACTTATATTTATATATTTATATATAAAACTGGAAATAAGTACAATATTTGGTTATATATCAGTATATGGTGGTTAGTAAGTAGATAAATAGAGAAGTATAAAAGAGGAAAAAGAAAAAGAATTATATAAATATAAATAAAAAACTAAATAATTAGTCGCTATTATAGATTTACTAAGATAAAAATAAATAATAACTGTTTATCTATTTAATAGCTTTCAAGTTGTAAGAGTTAAAATATAGAATTTAATATATTTATTACTTTACAGTGACTATAAAGACTAGAAATTAATCTTATAGTTATAATACTATACTATTTATTATATATTTTATAATTATTTATAAAAGTTTCGGTCCTGTTTTATAGCTATTTTAAAAATATTTTTTAAGTATATATTGACTATTGTATTATATTTCTATATTTATAGATTTCTATATAAAATCTAGATAAAACTCAATATTATAACTAATAATTAAAGAATAATATAATAACTATTATATAACTGTAGAACTGATTTTTGTTTTGTTTGAACTACTAGTAACTATCAAAAACTGTCTGAAACTACTGATGAATTAGTCAGCGACCTAACGTTGCCAACCCCCCTGCCCACTATGTATCGCACGATGGATTGGGCGGCTGAGGTGGAAAGGATTACACATGGCCATGGGGCAGACCACATTATTGAAGTGGCCGGTATTCAGACATTGCCGCAGTCGTTGCGGGCAGCTGCGTGGAACGGGATGATCCACTCCGTTGGCCATAGTACTAACATGTCTGATGAGAAGAAAGAGTCTGCCCCTGATGCTTCGGCATTCTTCCTTGACAAGCCATACACCCTGCGACGGGTCATTGTTGGCTCGAGGGAGCAGTTTCAAGGTATGCTGGCCTGCTTCACTGCACATTCTATCCGCCCGGTCATAAACAGAGTCTTCGAGTTTGAAAAGGCACAGAAAGCATACCATTATTTGTGGGATTCGTCGCATATTGGGAAGATCGTTATTCGCATTCCATAGAGATCAACAAGGTAACCATTGCGATGGTGTAAGAATCGCATCGTATATTGCAAACTGTGCCATGCGTGAGTTGAGGAATTATAAACATGTACTATATCTCTATTTCCTGGTTAAAGAAGAGCTTTGGGATAAGTCTCTGGCCAGTTCAATACAATATCACCCGTATCGTGGAACAAGCCACTATTAGACTTACTAATGGCCAGTGACATTGATATTAAAAAGAAGTAGCTTGGTACATCACGTTTAGTAGTGACGTAAAACATCCTAGCAGCTATTTGGGCATCACCGCATAGCAACCAGAATGATATAAACTGAGACTTACCAAATTTAGCCAGCCGTATCAACCGAGAAAAGCCGTGAACTCACAACTCACAGGAACTTGGGGGGTGAGAGTAAGCCCGCAGGTAGCCCTACTAGCCCACCAAGCCTTAACATACAACTCAGCTAAGGTGTTTGAACATTCAATTCAGTCTTATTAGGTATTTATATATATTTATGTCAACTCGTTGTTTATCCATTCCTGAAGTGGTGTATGCGCGCTAGATTATGCTGATATGCATATTCCACGCGTACTGCAAGTCTATAAAATGTGTTTATTCTGTTATTAATATTGTTCGGCCGCTCCCAAGGTCTTCCAAAAGTATGCTTTGGGCTATTTGATAACCTTTGGTAAAGCTTTGCATTCTTTGAATGTCCTGTCGGAGAAGCTCATACGCCACTTGCAAGCACGAGGTTTCGCGTTCAATGATGTTCTTCAAAGCAGACCGACTGCTATGGGACAGAAGCCCAGGAGAACATAGGACCGACCGCTGGAGGCCTAAAAAGGCCAACGACATCCCCAGGAGGACATCTAAGTTCCTTACGGGCGACTTCGATGTACTTAATAGCATCTCTGCAGATGTTGAAGGCCACGCTCTCAGAACGTCAGAGATGGATCTTGGCAAAGGAGCAAAGTTTTGATGATGGATAATATCAATACCAATATCAACCAGATCTGGCATATTAGCTCGATTGACTTCGTCCATTCCAGTAACACCATCCGATTCTGGACTAAAGTGGTACTGAGCTCGCAAAGCCCGAATTATGGCTGCCCCGAGCTCTGAGGCAACACGTGTTGGAATGCTCACCACTGACTCTAGGAGCGATATGTGAGCAAACCATAAAGGCAAAATTACCTTGCAATCGCTAGGGGTTATATGGTGGCATTTCAAAGGTGCTTCGAAGACTGATTCGTCGAGTGTAAGATCAGAAGAAAATGGAATTGAAGCCAATGGTGAATGCGTTGTGACCAGGGAGGTATGACCAACATGGTCGTTTTGGCTTCGACCTGTAAAATCCCAATACGCTTTCTGTCCTTGCTCTTTCTCGCCCAGGGACGTGATCCAACTCTTCAAATGCTCAACTTCCTCCACGGTAAATGCGCCAAACATCTTGCCCCCGACTTTGAGCTCACGGATCAACCTGCTACGTTCGGGATCTCCCTTGACAACCCATGGCGAAGCATTGCCCAACTCGCGGAGCGCATCTCGCTTCTGGCTCTTGGAATGACCAAGGCTGGATTCTAGCCATTCGGCCAACGGCATTCCACCAATTCGGGCACGACATCCGGAATGCAACATGTTCGACACGGCGGCCTTGCTTGCCAGCAGTTGTGCAATATTGTAAGTATCAACATCCTGGGTAAGAGTCTCATCTGAACCCAGGTTCCAGTCGACGTTTTCTGTCGACAGCGAAGATATATCCCTCTGAACGTGTTTTGACTGATTTGCAGACAGCACATAGCCCGCCTGAATGCGCTTCCACGCTGTGTTGGCTGCGTGAGACCCTTCATTCTTCCGGATGTGGGAGAGATACTGCGTGACCGTATGTGCAGCCATCATGGCATGCCCAGAATGGGCATTATCAATGGATACATGGAGAAGGAAATATTGCGCATCTAATTTGAGTTCCTGAAGCTCTCTCGACAAGACCATGGTTTCTAGGTTCAGCCCTTCAAAGTGCAGGTTATACCCCAAAATCTCAGGTAAGAATTCGTCGGGAAATAGTGAAATAAGAAGCTGAACAACCGCCGCCTTCCATGCTCCGAGGCTCTTCATCTGGTGCGCGGGATCTATGAAACTTGGCTCATACGGTGCCGGCAAGCGCACTCCTAGATCACACAACAGTTTGTTATAAATATGGGCATGATGGAGGTGCAGTGACCCATCGCCGAGCTCCTCAGAGAGCACTTGCCAAACCTGCTTCGTGATGGGTCGAAGCTCAAATGGCGTGGTGATGTGATGAATATGTCCCAGCCATGCGCCGTCCACCAACTTGAGAGGTGCCATCCGGGTCAATATCACCCCTGCTTTTTCGCGATTTATTGCGAGGAGCCGCGGGCCTCCCGCTTCCCGGCCCTCAGTGTACTTTTTGTACGCTTTACCGACCTCTTTGTGACTCTCATGTACAAACGCGAGCAATTGGTCTTCGTTGTAGACCTCAATGGCAAGGACATCGCCGTCTTTCTCAGGATTGGATGCGATTGCTTCCGAAAGCAAGGAAAGAAGCAGCTCTCGGGCTTCGGGTAGTATTCCTTGGTGATCTTCGATGTTGTGCAGTTTGAAAAAGAGGGATCGATAGTAGTCGATGGTACGCCGCACGCCAGGACACAGACTGCCAATGGGATCATGGTGTAAATCGCGCTCCTCCTGTGCATCGATTACGGCACGGTAGGATGCCCGCTGGACTGCTCGTTTGGGAGCCCCTCTCAACAATGCATACGAGGCAGTGATCAAGAACACCACGGCAGCAATGCAGAGAACTATTCCAGAGAAAGGCATATTTGTGTGGCGCTGACGACCACTTCAGCCCAAATAGCCCAAACACGAGCGATAGCCGATACGTGGAGGTTAAAGGAATATTACCTCAGAACGCTTATGCTTCCGATCATATACGAACGGGTGGGGCGCCGTAGAATTCAAGCTGATGTTCCAAAAGGCTGTGTCCGAACACCAATACACATGCAAACACGCAGATCAATTTTTAATAGTAAAAAAAAGTTCATAGCCTAGCTGGCTGAAAAAACGACTTCACCGACCTCCGCCATTTGTGGGGCGGCGAAGATTCTCATTCGAAAACGCGCATTGTGCTTGACGCCCAGAACTGAGCTTGTACAACTAAGTGAAAGTCCTGCCACTCTAACTCAGCCAGCCACTGCTGAAAGGCCGATTTTCAGCTGAGCAGAATTCACGAAGAAGTCTCTGTCGCAAGCTGGTGGATCAAGACCTTGGGGCTCCTGATCCGCTATGGAGTTGACTTGAGGGTTTGACTGTCCAATCGTTCGACCCGTAATATCACCGTGGTATCATGAGGATAGCGGCGCCTACACTAACAAAGTATAAAGCCCATGTTTCTACGCATTCTTCTGTACGAGTACACTATTCTTCCCTCCCTCTTTAACCTATCCCCTTTGGCAAATCTGCTCAGTTGCTTAACACCATCGCAATGGCTACCACTATATCCCCCAACACGTATACCCCTTTGCGATCGGTCAGCCTAGATCGACTTTTAGCGAAGGACCCGGAGTCGATTCAAGAGCTTCTACAGGGCGCACGAAGTCCGGGGTTTTTCCTTGTGGACTTGCGGGGAGTCGCTGGAAAGCAGATACGAGCGGATCTGGCTCAGGTGTATCAAGTTACCAAAGATTACTTCGATCAACCTTCCCAGGCGAAGCAGGAACACTTCAGGGCCGACATTGATCGCGGGCAAGTCCACAAAATATTTCGACACGTTCCAGGACCTGCTAACCTGAGCACAGATACAAACCTGGCCATGGATATCAAACCTTTGAAGTACGTTAAATTGAGCCGTGTTGATCCACCGCCAATCTCGAGGGAAAACTCTAACATTAATCCACAATTCAGCTCGCCCGCGAGGAGCTTACAAGCGCCCAGCTAGCCTGCCCTGGTCAACTTGCAATCCACAAGGAGTTGTTAACTCGCTTCACCGGCGATTGTCACGATCTAGCCATGACGCTCTTACGCAGTTTATCAGATGTGCTAGGCCTCGCTGGTGATGCCCAGTTAGAGACAAGCCACTCAGACACCCAGAGCAATGACTCGGGGTTAAAGCTAATTGAGATCCCTACTGTCGAGCGGATGGATGAATTTCCAGATACGACACACACTGATAACGGCACCCTGACCCTTCTATGGAGCACTGAAATGGCAAGCCAAATCTGTGACCCGACTACGGGGGAGTGGGGTTGGGCTGAGGAGCGAGATGGACATGTCCTCGTCAATGTGGCCAACTCGCTTCAGAAACAAACCGGTGGCAGACTCCATTCCTGCCTCCATAAGGTGGCTCAGCCTAGTGATGGCGCTCATGAACGATACATGGTTAGCTATTACTTGCGCCCAAACGCTCGGTGAATTAGATTGGGGGGGTGATCGGCACCTCAACATATGGACAATGAAATCCCTTCAGCGTATTATATATTATTTCTAGGCCTCGGCAGGGTCGGCTATTAGGTACAAGATCGGGACCCGTAATTTATATAATCGATCGTGTGGGTTCGAAATACCAATGGCTTGCTGATCTGCTGTGGTGGGCTTGAGAAGAACCCGACCAATTCGGCATTGATTGAGCGACTAGCGGCAGATCCAGTATAATAATAGGTAACGCCCATTACTTCATTGGACGGGCAGAATTCATGCCTGTAGGTGGACCATAGTAGAGCCAAGTGCAAGCGAGCGGGTCGTTTGAACGTGGCGCAGCTCGAGCTGAGCGGTGGAGACAGAAAAGTGAGAAAAGGCGGTCAATTAAGTGAGTTATAATCCGTAGTTATAGGGAATTGTTATTTGGACCCCACACACGGCAAGCCATTGCGGCCAACGAGCATTAATTCATTTTCCTATATTTTTTAGGGTTTCTTGTCCTCTTTTTGTCGAGTTCTTTTACCGCTTATCTGGCCGCCTTTGATTAGTTAATACTAGTTCTAAATCCTGATCAACCCAGTAGTTTGCTGTCATGTGACTATATATAGAGACTATAGTATAGACTACTTCGTAACTATATAGACAACGCAGATAAAATAGACTATGTAGACTACACAGACTACGCAGACAATACAGACAAAGTAGATTACACAGACAAAGTAGACAAAGCAGATAGAGCAGATAAAGCAGATAGAGTAGATTAAGCAGATTAAGCAGATCAAGCAGACCAGGTAAGTAATTTAAGTAGATTCAGTATAGTGGACTATTCTGCCGGCAGAAACACGTTTAAAATGTAGGAAAATGAATTAATGCACGTTGGCCGCAATGGCTTGCCGCACCCCACGTTAAGCGTATATAGGGAAGTTAAGCCGGCTATATGATTAAAAAACATACTAGTAAAGCCATTTCAAATACAGCTTATATAATATCCTATATAAATCAACATGATTAGTATATTGTAAAAATTTAACTATAGTTAAAGACCTCTCTGTTTATTACCTAGATTAGGTAGATAGCGAGACTACTATATATCGTTGAATATGCAATGGATATAGAGACTGATATATTATATAGATATTCAGCCGCTCTTAGAAAGACGGCCTGGGGGGAGAGTAGAAGTCTGCAGAGGTGGGGAGTTTTATATTCCTATTCTCGAATAGTCTCGCTTAACCAGTAGTATTACCAATACATAGTATTATGCCTTCCTATACGCTTAACGCGAGGTCCAAATAATTAGCGGAGGCCCAAATAACAATTCCCTAGTTATATATTCCTGTCTGAAACTTATACTAATCATTATAGGCCAGCTTCTCCGCGAGCCTCCACTCTTGATTTGTAGCATGCTCGGCCCGGATCGGAGACAGCACTTGGTTGATGAGTGCGACGATGGTTGGTTGGAGCGTTTCCAATCCCAGGTGTCTGGCTTGTAAGTCTCGCTCTAGCTCCTCATATGTGGTGTATTCTTTGGTGGAACCATCCACCAACTGGGCGGTAATCTTTTCGCTGCCCAAAGCGCCCAGATGATAGAGAGGGAAGAGACAATGTTGGAGCATTGGCAAGACGGCCGTGGCAGCTGGACCATCAAGCTCTGCCCATGAAATGCCTTCTAACTTCTCCTTGATTGTGTCTGGCGAATCCAGCCACTCAATCTTGGTGGCTGCTAAGGCAGACGACGACATTTTACCCTTGTGTAATCCAGGAACGATCACGTTGGCTAGATGCGATACAGGCTCGTAGCCGATACGAGGGAGGACTTTGTCAGCATACGCGAACATGCCGAGCTGGATGAATCAGGGAAGATCAGTACTAAACAACAACGTTGAAAAGGGATGTAACATTCTGCTTCCCTCACCTGATCCTCACCACCAAGTTGAAAATCACCACCAATGTAAACTTCACTGAGCGCCTGGTAGACCGGGCATAACAGTGGACTCATCATGTGGGCCGTCGTCACCTCGAGACCGACCATTTTGATGTCTTCTTGGGAAGAATGAACCAGCATCCGCGCTAGATCCTTGCAGAATGGCGGAGTTGAAGTGTAGATGGATTCAGCCACAAAGGTTATCTTGGACATGTCGACTCCAATAGCTCGAAGAATGGAACCAATAAGGAAACGGTAATACTGTGTCCGATGGGCGACTACGTCCTGTGAAACGTCATAATTGACAAGATATGCATATGAGTCTCCCAGATAGATTGTCACCTATTGTTTTTTGCGATTGTTAACACAATTCGACGGGGTGGAACACGTTGTGGAAACTGACATCGCAACCGGCTGCCACACACTCAGCAACCTTTACCAGAGGAACCATATATCCGAAGTGTGCTACGGAATTGTCTCCATGTAAGCGGGTTACGGAAGCCCCAAGGTCTGTTGGCACTTACGTCGTCCAGTGGGCGCAGTGCCTATGAAAAATAAGGGTAAGCTAGAATTCATTTCGACATCAAGAGCAGTCGGGCTCAATTACCCCAGTAGCCAGCTACTTTTCGTCCTTCCTGCAGCTTCTTCTTGATGCGTCCATCGCTGACAACTTGCAATCGGGCGGTGATCGCGTCGAATACCTTTTGCGCGGAGGTATCGAGACTCATCGTGATATTTCAGAGAACGGTTGATTATAAAGGCAGAAAGGGGGGGCTCTCCGAAATCAATGTAAGCTCTAGCAAGGCAAGCACAAGATGGTAGAGCACGCGATTATATAGATCACCTTGGTTTATTCCATTACAGTGTTATCGTTGGATCCGTTCAAGATGTAATATTACGCCAACACTCTTTCGGTTTTTTATTCGCATTTGAGTTCACTAGTAGTTCAGATTCAGGTTCCCGTATGTCAGATCAACCAAATGTACTCGGAAAGATCGTCGTAAAGCCCGAATATACTCCGTGGGTCGTGAGTGGAACCATTGGGACCCACTGTATAGAGGCTGGCTGACGCTGTTAGATTCTATTCGTAAAATAGAAATGATATACAATCACCCCCACAGGGATCCACTCAATCTGTTCCAACCACTATAGTAGATGTTTCTAGATGATCGCTTGTCCGATTTATGGCGGATAAATAATAATCAGATTTTGGCATTGGGAGAAAGGAAGGAAGGATTTCCACCTATCTCGGTACGAGCTTATTTTTCTCTCGAGTTAAACGACTACTATTACCTTTTTTTTTTTTTTTTTTTTTTTTTTTGTTCTTCTCGTTACCACACAGAATCTAGTTCTATTACAGCTTACTATAAAGGGACTTACTGCGCAGACCTGAGAACCATTAAGTACCTCGCTCATGTATTAATTAACGGAGGCCAGACACATGCGGAGATCCAGAACATTCATACAATGGACCAAATACCAGCATCCTTCCCTGACTATCTCCCGGTTCCAGAGCTACAGAGGTAATTATACCTGGGAAGATTTATCGTCCCTGCAGCCTACACACCTTGACAGCGCTGACTATCAGAAGCTATCCACCACTGGAGCCGTTTGAACACCATGAGCATGGCAAGAATGCCGATTCTACCTTTCCTGACCTCTTTCCCCAAGGAGCTGGTGTCATTGAGCATCTGACTCCCCAGTTCGGCTCCGAGGTGAGCGGCATCCAACTAAGTCAATTAACGAACAAGGGCAAAGACCAGCTGGCCCTATTTGTTGCCCAACGAAAGGTGGTGGGTAAGTGAATTTAGATGCCCCTTGTATGGGCGCCAAAGCGTACCGAAGGCATGTGGCTAACAGGGATAGGGTTGATGCAGCCTTCCGAGATCAAGATTTCGCCCATCTATCCATCGATGACGCCCTCAAGTACGGCGGCTACTTTGGTCGTCATCTCATGCATCCTACCTCGGCTGCCCCAAAAGGCTATCCTGAAATCCATGTCGTCCATCGTGGCCCTGAGGCCAAAACCTGTGCGAATGCCCTGCATTCGCGCAATAGCGCTGTCTACTGGCATTCCGATCTGAGCTTCGAAGAGCAGCCACCTGGCACTACCTTTCTTTACGTTCTAGATGGACCTCCAAGTGGAGGTGATACTATCTTCGCGGATATGGTTCAGGCTTACCAAAGGCTTTCTCCTCCATTTCGTAAAAGGCTACATGGACTCACGGCTGAGCACACCAGTGCGGAACATATCCAGAGTGAGGGGGGCAACGCGCGCCGGCCAGCCATCACCACGGCACATCCAATCATCCGCACTCATCCGGTAAGTATTGAGCGTGACAACCTGTCAAAGCCCGACGTACAAAATGCTAACCTGCAAAAATAGGCAACGGGGGAAAAGGCCATCTTCGTGAACGATGTCAGTAAGTATAAGAAGCCACCTTAGATAATCGGATTCGATCACTGAAACAACCCTCTAGTCACCAAGCGTATAGTCGGGCTCAAGAAAGAAGAGTCAGACCTGCTACTCAAGTTTCTGTTTGACCAAACGGCCTTCTCTCACGATCTTCAGGTGCGGCTTCGATGGAAGCCAGGTACTGTGGTGGTCTATGATGTAGGTCTAAATCTATTACGTTAACGCTTTGATAAAGATAATAGCTAATGAATCACAGAATCGCGTGACCTCCCACGCAGCGCTGTTTGACTTTGAAGATGGATATCGACGGCATTTGGCAAGACTTACGCCTCAGGCTGAAAGGCCTTACGAGACTCCCTTCCAGGAATAATAAGTGCACGTTTTTGATTTACAGATATAGTCACAAACTCGCAGGAAATAGTCAATAATCTCATCAAACTCTCCGTAGCTGGAAAGGTCCGTATTTTTTATAAATGACTGGAATACACCGTCTTCATGGACATAGGGACATACAACTGGAACCCAGCCACACAGATGTACCAGTCACAGCCCCACTTTTCCCAAAGTCTTCATGAAGCGAGTTTTGATTGTTATTGGCGTATATGGTAAACAGCGGGGACCGCGTGTTTATAAACCCTCCAACTCCCCTCCTTTGGGGAGGGCAACCTTTCCCATCAATTCAAATCCCTCGATGAGCCACCATGACAACAACCATCCCTTCTCTTACTTCCGATCAGGTTGATCGATACTTTGAATATATCCAGCTACCCCATGAGTATAGACGATATCGTAATCCGAAGTTGGATATCGCCCTGCTCACTACCATCCACACCTATCATGTGTCAACCATTCCTTACGAGAACATTGCTCTACATTATGCCCCTTCAGCGTATATTTCCTTGGAAATCTCTGATATCTATCACAAGTTTATCGAGAGGGGCCGTGGTGGATACTGCATGGAGAATAATATTTTCCTCTATCATGTTCTTTCCTTCTTAGGCTTTCAAGTCTACCTAGCCGGGGCCAGACTTCATCGTGACACCAAGAGCAACTCTCCCGGATGGTCAGGCTGGTAAGTGTGTGAAGACTCATGGCCCCTTATCCCTCTCCCACTGATTATAGCTGATAGGGAACATGCCGTTAACATCGTCACTCTTGCCGATCATACTCGGTACCTGGTTGATGTGGGTTATGGTGGCGATGGGCCCAAAACCCCACTACCTCTTGTGGCAGGGGAAATAGCCCCTAACATTGGTACACAAGAGCTGCAACTGGTGTATGGCACCATTGACGGTCTTTCAGATGCCAAGCAGCGCATGTGGATCTACCAGTTCCGAAATGCTACCGACTGCCCTTGGACCCCGGCCTATGCCTTTACCGAAACTGAGTTCCTGCGCCGAGATTTTGAAGTCATGAGTTACTATACGAGCCAGCATCCGCAGTGCTTTCTGACTTCTAACCTCCTCGTGATTAAGTTCCTGCGCGAAGGTAGCAACGTCTACGGCAAGACCATACTGGACCAAGACAAAGTGAAAGAGAATCTCGGTGGCAAGTCTGTTCTAATCAAGACATGCCGTAGTGAGGAGGATCGGGTTCAGGTGCTCCGGGATAGGTTTGGTATTTCCTTGACTGAAGAGGAGCAGAAAGGGATTATTGGTCGGAAATCCGAACTAGTCCAGTAGTTTGAGCATGAGGCTGTACATCCCTCACATAATCGTCGGTTTAACAATCCAGCTATGCACATGGAAAGATCCATAGTCGAGTAAGCAGGTAAACAACTCATACGCCAATACCGGATGTTGAATACTGGATATTCAATCTCAAATAACGAAACACTGACAGAATACTAAGAATACTAAATGACCAAAACAAATGTCGTGTCTAAAGGCTAAATGTAATCCCAGCTCTAATGCTACCTAACACACGGTAGATCCTAGACCTCATGGATTTCCCGCAACTAGGTAGAGAATTACTCTTCCTTCTGCTCAGGGTATAGAGAATTGGTAGATATGTCTTACGATTCCAAGGTGTAGTGCTGGTGTGTGGTCATCTGGCCCCATTGATGAGACAGTCAAGTCTCACAGAACGCTAGAAGCCTACTGTCCTGGTATCAGTGACTAGGTCAACACTTTAAGCATTAAACTACTGAGCGATCATGGTTAGAGTAGGTTGTTAAGGTTCAACACCAAAGATTTAGCTCTATCCAGTATACCAAATTCAGCTGCATCATGGAATGAGACACTATGAGATATATCTCTACTAGTTTGGAAAATATCAAGTTCATGTTTTATATATCTATAGTGTATACTATTAGGATGGTATATAAATATTTCTAAGCTTTAATTTAGCATGTACATAATTACTATATAATAATAAATAATCTTGTATATCTAATCCTCTTATAGTTTACTGAGAATTTAGCTGATTAAGGGAATATATTTGTTTATCATACACAATATATATAAAGATGCCCTTCACTGCCTTGGGAACCCCAGCCGTTGCTTTGAGTGTCCTACACTTTCTGTTGAAATTTCTCAAATCGCGTCAAGGTTACTTGGCCCCAGGATAGCGTTAGCAGAACTAGCCATCCGTTGCTATTGAGATCACTAATCCCTGAAGCAACTTGGATAACTACATATCCATTCAATATATTAGTCCATAATACAAATTTGCATGATACGATCTGCTCCCCTGAGGATAAGCACCCCCCCAAAGATCTCAACTTCAGACATGACGAGGACCGGAACCAGAAACAAATTTCCGATGCTAAGTCTCCACATCCTTTTTGCAAATCCCCATCATGACCATCGGAGGGATTAGAAGAAACCGGGGCAAACCCAGTCCTACACCAGGGAAGAACAAAAGGCGATTCCGTACTTTCCATACTCCTCCCTTTGCATTCCGGAAAGGACGAAAACACCCGGATGATACCGCAGAAGGTACAGGCGGCAAAGAGGGCAAATGGGCCCCAAGGGGACAAAGCCTCTGTCATGTTTGGAAAGCCACGGGTGACACCGAAATTGAGAAGATTCTGGTAGGTGAAACTGAGAGTCACGACGGACCCACGGATAGATGTTGGGCATATTTCTGATGCGGCGAGAGAAAATGAAGGACTTCAGCCGAAGCCGTATGGAATGGCAAAGATGCAAATGGCAATGACGGCTATACTCGCGGCTTCTGATAGTGACTAAAATATTTTTGGAATGTATTTTACCTCTCTGATTATGAAAAGAGGAACAGAAATCGGGTTCTTAGTGGCACAACAGTAGCAGCAGGCTATTCAATATACGAATCATCTATACAAGAAAATGAATAGGTCTAAATGCAATGTATGATGTACAGTAAAAGCGGTAAATTTACAACAAACATACCATAGCCAACAACACCAAACACCAAGCTAATATATCATTCGCGGAGAAGTATTTAGGCAATAGCGACCGTTGACCCAGACAACGAAGGTTTCGTCTTGTCGACATGAACATGCATCTCACTGATATCTCCATTCTCGATATCGAATCCGCGAATCTCTCCCTCGAGCTGCTGCTGGCGCTTGTACATCTTCCAAAAGACAACGCTACCGTGAACCTGGGCCGCAGAAAAGGCAACATGGAGCAGCGGGGTGACGACCTTGAAGGCTATCTGCCATCGGTCCCAGAGGGAGCCGAAGAGAAAAAAGATAACAATAGTTTCGCAGGTTGTTCCGATGGCAGTAGTGATGCAAGATAGGAGGAAGAGGCGTTTGAGAAAACGATGGCGGTTGGGGAAGATGCGGTAAAGGATAATGGCCAAGTGGGGGAAGAATTCTGAGATTATATCGAAGGCACCTGACGGAGAAACCATTAGTTTCGCATTTGTAAATATTATAGAGAAAGGTAGCTTATGACTTACCCCATACTGTGCACAGAACAAACTCGATATCGGCATCAGGCTCTCGGGCCAAATCTAGGCTGATTGCGATTGCGGATTGACCAATTACAATCGTTCCGATGTGATGTAACACAGCGATAGGCGACAGCTTTGTGCGGTAAATCAGCTCGAAAGCGTACATCCCAATAAGCATCTGGGCGACCACGACCAGCATGTCGCCCATGGTCACATGGGAGCCATGCGCGTAGGGTGTGTGGAAGCCCGACTTCCCAATGACAACTTCAAGGAATGGGTATGCGGCGACGATTAGGATTAGGATCTTCGTCAGACCGGCAATATGGTGGTTTATGAACCCGCGTCGGTTCACTTCACTCAGGTTCGTATAGATTGAACCATAGATACGTTTTATGAGGAATCCTTCCAACACATAATACCGTACCAGAAAAAGGACGACGAGTACAATCGAAATGATGAGGGCGGAGAAGGGAGAAAGCTTCGAGATAGGTTGCAATTTAAGAGTCCCCAGAGCAGTAGTGTCATGGTGATAATGTATGGCCATTGTCGCGTCAAAATGTTTTCAATGACCATGGGCTCATCGATGAGTGAAGGCCGTTCAAAGCAGGAAGAGAGTGATGGGCGAAGCGGGAACGTTATTAAAATGACCTTGAATAAAGGATCGAGGGGGTATACCAAGAACAATGAGAGAGAGAAGGAGTGTAGACAGAAACAAACAATGAAAAACGGCTAAATCGCATCAAATAACTTTCATTAATATGTGCAAGCGTTCATGAATGGAGAGTTAAAAGATAAAGGGAAGAAAAGGGGACAATGGACGGTGATATTCCAGCGAGGGAGACCTCCCTCTGGTCGAGATACCCTGTTTCTCCTGGGCAAGCCCCAAAGGAACCCTGGATCTCACCAAGACTAGCCCACAGCACTACTACTGGGGGGTAATTTGCACATTGATCCCGCTAGTATTACCAACAATAGTCTGGCTTGTGGCAGTAATATGGTAGCCTACGCTGGGCGGCCATGTTGGTGGAGACGCATGGTGTACTCTGTACACTCATTCTCAATAACGCCCCATCGGCGCTAATTTAAAGACTAGAATGTTTCTCACCCATTGGTCAAAGGGGTATAAGCTATTTCTGATAAGCGGCTTCGCTCAAACCTTCTGCAGCATGACAAGCGTATTTAGTATAACCTCTTTCGGGGCGCAGCCTCGTATCACTGACACTCGACAGAGCAATGGGTCCGTTGCCTGCTGATCCTATACCGAATAAGGGGCAAGCCAAGCTTTCAGGATCCACTGAAGAAAAGCTTCGCCTCCGCACGTTGAATGAAGTTTCTACGTTTTTAGGCAGTAACATTCTAGGGTTAGGAAATATCCACGACTGATTGGTGGAGATCCCGTGTAGCCCTGGCACGTGATGCCACCTACCCACCACGCCAAACTGTTTCAGGAGTAGCGCCAACATGTGCGTGATATTCAGTTTCATCCCACGGGGCATCAGACCCTTCAATTCCTGCATGGTTCGAAGTGCCCTGGGTGTGTCCGTGGGTCGGATTTGGACATTCAAGCTTTTCCTCGGCAGTTCAATGGAAACCAGTCGGAGAAATCACTACGTGTCACACGTGGGGGAACTTGAGAGGCATTTTTCCTTTCTATTTTTGTCGCCTGGCTTCTAGGCAAATGCGTGCCTGGTGGCGTTAGGGGTTAGTCACACAGTAATCCGCACTGCATGCTCATCTTTAAAGGGGCCAATTTAAATGGAGACGTATGAGACAAAAAAAGCATCCCAAGTAAGGTAGAACAAGTGGGTAATTGCTTGTTTGGCTTATCACCCCAGTCAAGTCGAGGCTTATATTGAGTGATGGGACGAGACATGCTAATAGTACAATAGAGCGAGCATATGAATCCAACCATAGTGTTTATTTCGTTTCTTTTCCTTTCTTTTCTCTCTTTTCTTTTTCTTTCTTTTTTTTTTTTTTTTTTTTTTTTTTTTTTTTTTAATCGAAGCGTCAACACCGTCACTGATGATGCCAGGTCTAGATTCTTATCATGAACGTGTACTTATCGCGTAACATCGAAGGCATGGTGGTGGTATATGGAGCCTATGGGTGCACCTTCGCTACCCTGACATTTGCTCCTTCGAGTACCGAAAATACCATCCAGAAAGGGACCACTCACTCGGCACACGGTTATATATTGGTGCGCAGTAAATATAGGTCTGTCCTGTTCTATCCTGTGCTCAGAATATTGGGTGATTCCTATGGGAAATTGTACCCTGACCTCACAGGTATCATATGCCAAACACATTCAGGGTGAGGGGCAGAGAATACATATCGACTTGATGTGCGACGATGACGAAGTGCAAGACAGCAGCTCTGGGAGACCTCACCTAACCGTGGATATTGCGTCAATGTCCTGACTGAAGCAACCGATCCAGATACCTGTATAGATGCTCATCACCTACCGCAAGACACATTATCAAATACACGCCCACACTTCTTGCACCTCGCAAAGTTCTGGGCCCGCAAAAGTCGTGGCTCTATTGGCTGTACACCCCTATGACTAAAAGACTCGCTGTACGAATATATAAGCTAGATGCCGGCCATTTGGCCGAGTGCTTCTTTATTTGTGAAAGAGTAGGGGGGCTTATAAGATATATCATGAGGTGAGGAGTTATTGAGCAGCTATCTGTCCGACTCCATAAAGACGCCCATGGCCAGAATTACTACACAACGAAGCCTAATCGGACTATTTCTAGTCTCCAGATATGATAAAGCCATTGTCCTTCCATTGTGCCCTTTACAAAACACGAAATGATCAACGTCGAGGCCCACTATTAATTGTTGGAGAAAGGCATTTACACGTACAGGGATATCTGCTGCGCCGTTATAAACGCCAGCAAAGGATTATTTTTGGTTATGGATGCGAACTGTGTTGTATCGTCAATGCGACACTGCCATCTACTTCACAGCACTGAAGACGCGTTTGAAGGCCCGATCTCGTCTATTCTGGTTCTTCCTTTGGAGGAAGAGTCGGGAAGGCCAAAACAGTAACTCTGACGGCCGGATACCAGACGTTTAGAATCATGTTAACGAATAGTTTGGGATTTCCGACACAGTCGAATGGCGAGGACATTTTAACAGTCGTTCTTGGCAGGGGTATACGTCAGAGAGGATACCGGGCTTCTCTTCTAAGTAACTATCGAAAATCCCGAAGTATTTGAGCTGACATACTGCGTCCCAGCATTGCTCCAGAGACACGCATTATTATGATCTAGCCGATAATCCGACACTCACTCACTCACTCACCCACTCAATACTAATAGTTTCAACAGAACATTTCGACTCATAGGACAATAAAAATAATATTACTCAAAAGCTTACCGTCTTCCATAGGTAGTTGGCAAGAAAGGAAGCGTGCACGCTCACGTACATACATATGAGATAGTGAATGTTAAAGGAACGACAGAATTAAATGCCCGAATCATCCTCAATAGCATGGCTCTTCCCGCTCTGATAAGTCTCCCAGTTCTGGCAGTTCGAGTGGAGCGAATCATAATCAATCAAATCCTGGATCTCTGAGTATCGCTCCACAAATTGAATGGCAAAACCTTCCTCCGTATGCCAGCCAATATGGCAGTGCATCAACCACGCTCCCGGGTTATCAGTCACAAAACCAATGACTAGGTGGCCGTTTGCTGGAAGCATGGCCGTATCACGTCGAGGGGGGTTGTTCGTTGTGATGTCGCCTGCGCTGTAGGTTCCACTTCCCTGGGAGAGGACGACGAAGTCATGTCCGTGGAGATGGATCGGATGGGGCACGGATAGGGTGGTCTCAATGATGACAAAGGCCCATTCGTCTGCACGAGGAAGCTGGACTACACCACTGGTATTGGTGAAGGAGGTGTGGTTGCGGTAGATCTCCAGGAGAGTTGGGTCCTCCCAGGCAACGTGCATGGAGGTACTGTTCAACTTCCAGCGATAGAGGCTCTGGGAGTTCTTGCCTAGGCCCACGGGTTCGGATTCGTTGTATAACGGGTTGGAAGTTACTACGTAGGGATTGACGATCGGGACGAGATTAGATATGTCCTCGTCATCGCAGGCATCTGTGTAGGAATATCCCGTTGTGGTTGGTCTGGAGGGAGAAGAGCCGTAGTATACGATTCCTTTGATATTGGTGGGATTCTGGTTCTCGGAGCACGCTTCCTGGGGAATGGCACGCAGCCAGAAGTTCTTGGCGATGGAGGCTTTGTCTGCGCGGACGATGATGTCGTAGCGTTGTCCTGTATCCATGATTAGTGAGTGTACGATGTGACCATTATAGAAGTGGACCTACCCATTGCAATATCGAGAACGGTAGTATTGTACGGTTCAATGGGAACCAGGTCATTGGCGATGACCGTCATAGTATGGTTGTCGATCATGAATTTGAAATGGCTGTCGCAGGCCGCATTGACCAGACGGAATCGATAAGACTCTCCTTCTGTGAAGGATGTATTCCATCTTGCACCCGTCTGATTAGCATATCCATCTTTCCCGAAGACATTCATCCCATTGATCAAGCCAGAATCGAGTTCCGGGGGTCCATCGAGCTGTGCGCTATCGAACAGCTGATCTACTGTATTGATGTCCCAGTCATTCAGGATGATGAATCCCTTATCCACATCATAGTTGGCACTAGCAGGGCCATTAATCCTGATGCCACCGAACACGCCCTCCCAAGCCTGGAGACCAATGTGCGAATGGTACCAGGTCGAGCCATACTGAGTAGCTCTCCACTTGTAGGTGATGGTGCTGTTCGGAGCAGTTGGGCACTGGGTGATGGAGACTACACCGTCCGAGGGGTTTGTGTAGTATTGGCGGATTCCGTGGAAATGGATACTGGTGCCATTCCTAACAGAGCTAGGTAGCTTGTTGTTGACATGCACAACCACAGTATCACCCCAGTCTGCTTCAATGGTAGGGCCGGGGATAGAACCGTTGATGGCTAGGGCGAACCGGGACCGTCCATCCGGAGCCACGGTGACATGTTCGAGGTCAAACCAATATTCTCGAATGACACCCGTCTCAGGAGTGGTAGTAGTATAGTCTGTATTTATATCATAGCTGCACCATTGCTCGCGATTGCTGGCAGTGTTTCCTGTGCAGGCACCAGAGGAAGAAGTACTAAGAGATGCTGAAGAAGAGAGTGACGCGGAGACAGAGTCTCGAGCTAAGAACGAGGGGATGATTGTAGCAGTAGCAGCTAAAATGCTAGGAATTAGACAAAAGAACGATAATTTCATGTTGTCTTCCACTGCTAACGAGTGTTGTCGGATACCATAACAAAGAGAGTGACAATGAGTTGGTGTTTCCAATTGTTATTGAAACATTGGAAACACCTGCTTATATGGCTTACCACCGAGGCCATTATCCTAGAACACTCAGCATTATCATATGGGATCAAATTAGCGAAGCACAACTATCATATCCTCTAACAAGGATCAGCACATATTGGCCGAATCTCATTGGACATCTAGAAACTGGCCAAGTGAAGTACGTGGACGGAAAACACGACCTGTCGAGACGAGCTGAAAAGCCTCCACACAGCATGTCTAGACAGAGTGGAGCAAGGCTGAATGCTCTTTGGCAAACCTATATTGGCCGTAAAAGACCGGATGCCTCTATCGGCGGTAGGTGGAGCTTATCCGCTCTCCCAAGCTTTGACAACAGGAAAAATCAAGTGAACTACTCGGATCACCATCTACCCGTCCAATTGTACGTTATTGCCGATAAGAAATTTCTATAATTATCTAGATACAAACACTGCACCCCATTGATTGGACAATTATCCCGCAGCGTAGTCGTTCCCCACGTCTGCAGAGGAACCACTTATGAACATGGGCCTACGCAATACGCCTACATCCTGCTGCGGTAAAGGTACTGCATGACCGTGGTGGGGTAGACCTATCTGCCTTAGAAGCTCCTCATATAGTCGAGGAATATTTGCCTTGTTCTTTATAGGATAGAGTTAGCCTTTGCCCAGCCCTATGCGCAAGACAAGATCCTAGTTGTGGCCGAAGAACAAACGTCAACGACGCGCATTCTCCCGCCGACGGATCCACTCAAACGCCGATCTACCACAAAGCATGATTTTGGCGATCAGCATAAAATCTTCTATTCCGGTTAGTGGCGTACGTATCCCTCATGCTATGGGTCAAGGTCCCGCTTAACTATCGCGATTGGGTTGGTGTGGGATGAACCAAACGACGATGTTTCAGGAACAGGCATAGATAGTCGGAAGTATAACGACGGCGATATGCCGAAACTACTGACTTAGCTTGATCGGGAATCACCAATATAGAACATAGTTTTGCGTATTCATCTACCACTAAAAAGCAAGTATCGGGGCTAGAAGCATCTAAAATAATGTAGCCATAGGGGAGATTGATCCGGCTAAAGGAGCCCCAACTTATCATAAGAAGATTGGAACCCGGTTTTCTTTATGGTCATTCATACCAATCTCCGATAGTTCCGGTTCCCATTTTTGACAGGCCTCTGTAATCTACAGAAAATATGTTGTCTTTCAAGGCACCTCTCTGGTTCTGCTCTTTGGCAGCGGTCGTTGGTACGGCCTCGGCTGCTCAGAAGTTTGGCCTTTACGCCTATGGCGAGAACGTGGGAGGACTTCCCCTTTATTACGTTGATGGTGAGAAACATTAGTTTCTATTATCCTCGTGAGATCCGTTTAAAGATATACTGAATCACACGTACAGGTAGCGCTGTCGTAAGCCCAAGGACTCCCGAGAATGGAACCGACGTCGCCCCAGTCGCCTGTAAGTCGCGCGTCTCCTGCCGCTATTCATGTCAATCTAACCAATCCTTCAGTCGACAAGGACAGCAATAATGAGCTCATCGGGAATCCAAACACAACCAGTACTGCGTCTGCGGCCGGTTTCACGGATGTATCGCTTTTCGTTCCTGGTCCGAACTCCAATGACAAGGAGATGGGCTTTACCAGCGATCCTTCTTCGAACCAAGTCACCAACAAATTTGTCTGGTATGGTAACTTTCTACTGGTTGAGAATGAGTCTGGGGAGTACACCTCCTTGTTCTCTGTCAAGAAAAGTTCGTCGCACGATGAGGACGGAAGCTATGATCTCTACTGGAACGTCACGGACTCGGATGAAGAAGTGATCACTATTTCCATGAGGTCGGTTGCGCCTTCCAATGCGTAGAGCTCTATCTACGTCGGACCAATATGTGGTCCTCTTCTAAACTGATATTTGCTGTTGTGTGTGAGGGATACTTGGACTGTCTTTCTCGCAGTATACGCTCCAAGATTTCTTCCAATTCCCTTTCTTCCTAGCCGTTCTTTTGTACTGTCCTTCTCTATCTATTACCAGCTGGATTTCTTTATGTTCAGAAATAACATTTGAGGTGTTGACACTTCTATAAATGGTCTATATATATTGGACAACGAGTTGTCTACATTGGACGTATGTGTTTTCGTGAATTATGTGCATGTACGCTTGACTTTCCTATGGGTGAAAGCCTAAACAATGTATCTAAAGCTGCGGTTCTGGATATCCGTCTCATCAGCATGGTCCAAGGCCTCGTCCGTGTGTAGATCAATTTCACGAGTTTCTTCCGGATTAATATGCACTCCCTGCTCCTTATCACGTCGCCTATTCTCCCACCCCAAGTAGACGCGAAACACGATCGCCAAGGCCACAGATATAGCATGGCAAATTACAATAGTGGTGTAGGCAGTCTATTAATAGAGCGTGCGCGTCAGCATTTCTTTTGCCTTATTGATAGCGGGCGCGATGGTCACTTACGGGATAGTATGGTGCTTCCGAGTTCTTGAAAAATTGCGGTCCTATCAGGTTTCCAACACAATAGCCTACAAAGATCAATGCAGCAACGGTCGACTTTTTGGTAAATCCAGCCGTGTTGCTTGCGTGGAGGGACAACATGAGCGGAAAAACTGGCGAGATCGCCGAAGTCAGCCAGTACCCAGCTAGCCGGGACAGCTTCTGTTCCGATGGAATCAACTTGACCATAAGGATACCTGCCAGGGCCATAGCTAATACCAAAACCATTGCAATTAAGCGGGACTTGCGAACATTCATGCAGAATACAGTGGCCAGTAAGATCACTGCCAACTGAAATGCCGAAGCGGGAAGACCCATGAGAATGGTTTGGTATTTATCGTAGCCAAAACCAGCGATCAGGAGAGATTGGAACTTCAGATTGTCAGCTTTCTGTTTGAAGCACAAGCCTCATAATTAAACACCGATAGTAGAAAAAAGGACTAAAGCCCAAGCGTGGGATATACATACGCTAGTCGTGCCCCCATTTGGAACACAGATGACGAATGAGAAAATCAGCAACCACCATGTTTTAAAATCTGTGAAAGATTCAATGAATTGGTTTCGGTCCCATTTCCTCGTTTGAGTCGTTCGTTGGAACTTTTTCGGTCGCAGGGAAGCAAATTCACGTTCAGAAGAAGAAAGGAAGTGAGCATCCGATGGAGAGTCCGGCAGGTAAAACCACAATACAATTGACCATGCCACGGTTATTAGGCCAAAAATAAGGAATAGTATCTACGCACTTGGTAAGTTCATTTATGGACAGATGCGGGCGGAAGGGTAGGCAAACCTTCCATGGTGGGAAGTGGTCGTGATAATGCGCAATACCGTAAGCAATCAGCGACCCGATGATGCTGAAACTGGCATTTCCTGCGAACCAAAATGTGTGGCGAGAAACGTGCTCCTGTGGTGTGTACCACATTCCAGTTATCAATGAGAAACCTGGGCTGATAGCGCTCTCAAACACGCCCAGGAAGGTTCGCAAGACCATGAGCCCGGCGTAATTTTGAGCAACAGCATGGAGAGTCAACATAGCGCCCCAGAGGAAACTAGACTTTCTTAGCGAGATCAAATTATCATCGAAAAGCTCAACCTACATGAGTAAGCTAAGATATTTTCCCAGAGGGAACTTGACAAATCCAAGAGAAATCGGGTACGAAGCCGCGAGATAGCCGATGTAAAAGATACTGGATGCCCAACTATATTCTTGTCCGACAAGGTTCTATCGGTAGTCAGTATAGATGCCAACCTCCCGGGGACTAGTGATAAGATACCAGATCATCCTTCAATCCAAGGATCGCACTGTAGGATAGACTCGTCTCTGTGGGTATTATAAGCATCGGACGCCACCTTAATCGAGCGGATGATGTTATACTGACTGTCCAGGAACTGGAGGCCGTAACTAATGATCAGGAGTGGCATCAAACTAATGCTGTGAGTGAGGTAAGTCCACCATAAATATCGTCAAGTTAACTCACTGTAGATCGATCTTCCTTACCAGTCTCTTTTCCTCCTCCGGGCCAAGGATGTCTACCGATCCACGCTCTTTCTGTCCGTCGACAATGTCTGGGGGCACGATACATTTTGCTTCCTGGTCAATGGAAGACCGCGGCATTTCTGCCATGACAGGCAACAACAGCGGTTTGCGGTTGAGTGCAGAAACAAACTCGATGCCAAGATAGGCGAGACGGGAGAGTCAAGTTACCGGGTCGGGCATCCCGAATTTATACAGAAGAGTCGACAAGAATAGATACATTGAATTAAGTTGTTGGATAAGAAACGGCAGACGAAAGTACTCGGTTGAAGCGTGGCCATTACGTAGGTCCCGTCAATTGATAGCCCCTTGCCTTCGGTGTGGAGATGATACCCTACCTACACCGGAAGTCAGGACGACATGATTGGCTTGTTTAGTCGACGGGAGAGGGCCGAGGTCGGGGCGAAGCGTGAGTGGCGGACTCCCGCCTCCGGCTTTTAAAGCACCGTCTCCACCCCCGCAAATCGCGGTCAAAACCCCAGCTTGTTGACCTTCACCCCAAAGAGATAGTAGGCCTCTCGTGACAGACTATCGGGTGTCAATCGAACAGCGTTGACCAACCGTATGAAGGAGATGTTCATTGAGGACGCCAAGGCTACAGGGATGCCAGGAGAAAGAGGAAGAAAAAAAAAATGCAAATTGCTGCAGCTAAACAGTCTTATCGCGGCTCACCACCAACTATTTGTCGGAGGTTGTGCATGGTTACTGGAGCATGTCTCGTTGCTTCCTCGACGAGTTGGAAAACTCTCTTGAGTGCGGGGTCTGAAAGATGGGTTATGATCCACTCTCGATGCACAGGATCGCGTGTCTCGACCCCCCAAATGAACAGAGACCATTGAAACCTTTCCAGCAATTGGATGGGCCCAATGGACACTGCATTATATGCAGCAGTAACCAATGAGCCGAGAGCGCAGGTGACCTCTTCAGGAATAGGGTCAGTGCCGAAGGCCGATTCGCAGCTCCGATGCAGGTATATTTGCAGAGCATAGAAAAAAGTCACAGTAACGCACTCCATTAAAGACGCACGATAAGTGTTCGGTGATTCGCTATTTGTGACCAGCGAAAAGAGACAAGCGTATTCCTATTTTGGATCAGTCAAATCCTACGACACTTAAAAATTGCATTTGCGACCTTATGTACCTTTTTCAGCTCATTTAGGTGCTGTTTTAACCGTCGTTCGTTACCATGCCGATGTAGCCCCCCAGTTTGGCTGTGGATATTGATTTCATGGTGGATACTAATGAGCATGAAATAAAGCTCTAATATCGCCGCTTCGTGAACCTCCGGCAAGCTGCCACTGGTAATCCTGTTCTCTTCGGGGAACAAAAGAAATACGGTCCGCGAGAGCCTCCATATTTTACGCATCTTAAAGTAGTCCTCATTAACAAATGTAGCGAAGGAGCCACCACATCCGAAGAAGGAGCAGAAACCGTCGCGATCGTAGACATACGTGAAAATTCGCGCGAGAAGGACTTGATCTGGAATTAACAGTCCAGCAGTGAAAGTCTCCGGGAAGAGATTCACGTCATCATTAGTGCAGAGCTCATCCACCTTATAAGTCCGCACATATTCCACTACTGTTCGACTCAGTTCTCCCAACTTTTGTGGGGCTGGTTTGTCGCGTCGCATCCAGAACATGTACATATACAAAAAAGAGAGCATCATGTTAACATGGTCAGTTGGCCCTCGCGGAGTTGAAGCATACCGGAGCAACTTTGTACCTTGATGGAAGTGCAGGCAAGACTTTTGGGGTAGAACAAGCCCATTATCATAGTATAGTGACAGTTCACTATGAGCGACGGCGAGGAGGAAGTGAAGCGCCATTTGCTTGTCGACAACATAATCAACGAAAAGAGATTGGGCTGAGTGGGCGGGGTCACGCGTTGACTTCAATGGCCCAAAAACAGTTCGATGAAAAGACAATGCCTGCATATCATCGACATCATGTGTTGGGATGTTTCGCATGCAATTCATAAACAGCAGGGGTATTGGGTCCAACAAGCTGTTTGGGTGGTATTCATGTAGCACGTGGTATTCTTCCTGGATACCAGCTTGGAGCCCCAGCCTAGTCACCGGAAGACTTGGTGTGGACTCTTCATCAACTTGTTGTTCTGGTGTAGGTAACGATATAATAGGCGAAGCGCTTCCCACTAGTCCAATGATGCAAGAGTCTGTGGAGTTGAAAGACGACAGAGACGACGAAGTACCCATTTCTGGTACGAATACCTGTTCTCTAGCGTGTCCCTTAGTACCTCTTGCATCATATTTGTCTTCGTTTAATATCTGTGAATACAGCCCACCGCTTCCCTTGGAGGACGGACTAATGCTGGACATCTCCCCTGGCAGGCAAGGTAACTTAGAGTTTGGCAAGATTGGTGGAGGAGTCCATGACTCGCTGTTCCTATGTTTTATTGGCCTCAAACCCCTCCGTCTCGAAGACAAAGGAGGTCGCGGGGGTGCCCATTCGCACACCAAGTGAAGACGCACACAACGTCCGCAAATAGGACGCTCCTCGTCACACTTAACCCTTTTACCAACACAGGTACGGCAGCCTCAATATCAGATTCATGTCAGTATTGATCTCCGTCGCGGATAAGTCCTGGTTAAACCCACCATCTTTCGAGCGTTTGCCGCGCTCTACGCGTTTCCGACGGGGCCGAACAGCATCACCCTGATCCATTGCACCTAGGAAGACCCTGTACTCTGCATGCTGGTATTTTTTGACTTTCGTTGAAGTTCTTATCGTTATCAGGTGGGGAAGATAAGGAGTGACTCGCCAAGCAGGTGTTTGGTATCAATCATCAAAACCTGCCCTCCACATTTTTACCTCCCCCGTGCCGGTCGATTAAACGGGCCAATCATATTGCTCCCTCGTCACGTATTGCACCTGACCGGGGCAGCGCAACGAGTCGCGAGACCCATTGCGAATTCCTAATTCAATGAATAACTACTTTTATTTTTCCTTATTTTTCTTAACTTCTGAGGATTTTAACTTCTTATATATAGTCTTTCTGTCAATTTGTTTAACGTCTGTTGTGCCTCAATATTAAAGTTCCATCATTGTTCTACTCATAGTGTAGTAAGAATATATATTGTGATCCTCCCATTCATCACCCTCAAAAACAACGTCAAAGGCCAAAAGAAAAGCAAAATGGGAAACGTACTTTCTGGTTACCAATCAGCTGAATGCGAAGTAGAATTAGCCAATAATGTTGGGAAAATTCGCGGCCTCCAATTTGACAACAAATCTCGACGATACGTTGACATTCCATACGCTCTACCACCGACGGGTGAGTATCGATGGCGAAAACCACGACCATTGCCAGAATCTTTCTCATACTCGTCTCCGGACGGTACCCCACACGATGCGACAAAGTTCGGAAAAGTCTGCTTACAATCCAGCTACTCCGCCTCGGTGAAGAAACAACTTCCGCAACATATCTTTGGGGAGGACTGTTTGCGCCTGAATATCTGGACACCGGTCGAAAAGTCCAACGAGACGAACCCGAAATGGCCGGTGATGATCTGGTTCCATGGCGGCTGGTTCCAGATCGGTGACCCCAGTCAGGAAGAGTCGATGGATCCGACCGAACTTATCTCTACGGGTCAGTTGAATGCTGTATTTGTCGCAGTGGGTTACCGTCTCAATGTGTTCGGATTTCTGGCTGGTGAAGCATTGAGAGAGGAATCCGGTGGACAAGAGGTGGGCAATTACGGCCTTTGGGACCAGCGACTGGCAATGGAGTGGGTCTATAACAATATCTCGGCCTTCGGCGGGGATCCTGAGAATATTACCTTGTCGGGACGCAGCGCGGGCGCCTACGCCGTTCAGGTGCAAACGCTGTACGATTTTCGGGGATCGATGGACGAGTCTGCCCGGAATCATTTTCGACGACTAGTGATGTATTCTAACGCGATTCCAACTCAACCAAAAACCCCGGAAGACTGTCAACCTCAGTTTGATGAACTATGTGAATATTTTAAGATATCACCAGACACATCAGGGCCTGAAAAGCTTCAGAGACTGCGCCAGATTGATGCTGAGCAGTTGTGTGATGCGGTTATGAAACTGAAGCATCACACGTTTCGACCCGTGACTGATGGTGTTTTCATCCACCCTGGCATTTTCAAATACTATCGGGATGGGTCGTTTGCAAATGAGTTTAAGAGACGTCAGCTGCGTTTATTAATCGGAGAAGTTCTAAACGAGGAAACATTATATGCCGTGACTAATGGTCCACAGGCCAACAAAGCGTCGCTAGAGTTACAGGTTTCCAATTATTATTCCCCATCGACGACATCTCGATTGTTGCAGCATTACCCTCTTCCTGACTCTGACCGAAAACAGGATTGGGAAGCTGTGTTTGGACGAATCATCTCCGATGGTCAGGTCCGAGCTCCGTCGCGGTTCTTGGTTCATAACTTACTACAACATGGGGTGGATATTAAAGATGTGTGGCGGTACCTTATTGCATACCGCATGTCGTTCATTACCGAAAAAGTAGCCCCTGCTGCATTCGGAGTGAGCCACGCGATGGATAAACCAATATGGAAGTGAGTATGAGACTTGGAAGATCCCTCGGTCTTCCTTCTTAAACGAATAACTTTCTAACGTTTTCTATTTAGTTACTCTGTGATGCATGGCCCGAACCCTGCCGAGCGACAGTTGATGGATACTTGGATTGGCGACTTGGTGGCCTTCGTCAACGGAGACAATGACTATTCCTACGGAACGAAGGAATGTGATGAGTATAAGGTCATGACGCCGGATGGCAGTATTGAGATCCAGAAGGATCCACGCTGGGGTGAACTGCTGAAGTTGATGGATGTATTTTCTGGCTTTTCTTGTGAGAATTAGGTTACCTTTGTGTCTAGCCACTAATACAGTGTATATCGTGATGTCTTCTCTCCAAGTTGTGTTTAAAATGTTGGTAGTAACTATTCATTTGCTAATACATATTACGAAGTGCTCCGCGTGTCTAGATTGGTATAGGTCCTCGGCCATCAAATATAAGGTGCATGTACTGAATCTCGCACATTGAAGACAACAGCCTCAGCTTAGAGTGATATCACATATTAAAATAATCATA